CTTCACACGTCACAGTTCTGGCATAGATACAGCACATAGGTTAGCCAAAGAATAAAAGAATGTTCATAGAAATATTCCCAAAATGCAAGTGTAGTTAACACAGAAAGAAATCCAGAACAGGTATATTCGTATTTCGTCAGTACTAAGGTAATATTAAGGTAAGGTCCTATTTTTAGCCGTATTAACATCTGAAACGGCAGATTATTCATTTAATCTAACGGTCATGCATCAGTCGATATACACAAACAAAAGCCATGTGTGGCTTCTCAATGGACAGTATGCACAGCAGTCTATGTTTACATGAGGCTTTATTGCTTATTGATGTATAGAAACCAACAAAGCAGCCTAACACTGGAAACAGGTAGAGAGCTAGAGAGAGTAGCATAAAACCATCCTCAAGTATTTCAATTAAATAACGACTCAAGTAGAGGTAAAGGTAGATAACAAGATACTCAAAAACTCCCCAAGAACTGAGTTCCCTATAGAGCTACAGTAAACCTCTCAGTATATATAGTATCTATCAGCAGAGAAACTACAGTTTGTTAGGTGCTGTTCTCTTTTTTGGATCCTTTTAGTACAAAGTAAAATGTTAAAGCTTAGACGTCAAAGACAAAGTCAGCAAAGCTGTTCACCGACCAACAGAACAGACAAAGCAAATTCCTCACAAATGTACTCAAATAGAAGTGGCAGTTATCTTCTGCGGATGCTCAAAATTGCATCCAAATTTTACCTGAGGAGATGGAACTGAGGAAAAGGAAACCACCTACCTGTGCTGAAACGTCCATCGGCGGTCAAACAAAAGAAGCTCACTAAAATATCACATTGGATTTGGCCAACTACAGACTGTGGGAAGTGATCGAGGTCTTCCCGACAGGAATAAAACTGAGACACGTCTTTATGTGGGTGCCTCTGAAAACAGTGATTTCCAGGAGGCTGATGTCTTCGGTGACCCGGTACTAAAGTGGGTCTTCTTGGGGGGGCGGGGGGGGTTCAGCCCTCGCGGACACACATGGCAGTATGTTTATCAGATTGGACTAACCCTATTCTCCAACCCAACTATGGTTTACAACCCATTCTGTTCACACAAAACATCCCAAACTGGAACTCAAGACAATAAAAGGCAACAAACGTGATTCGAAATGGTCCAGATGGGCAGGAAAATTCCCAATCTGGCAACTCTGCTCTGTTTAAGTGGGGGTGAAGCCGGGGACAACAACAACAGCAGAGGATTAAGGGGTTGGGGGGGGGCGTTTATGCCAAGAGCCTAGACGAACTACAGAACGACGATGATGGTGGTTATGTCAAAGATTCAGGCTAGTAGGTACCTTTTCAGACTCAGTCTCCCAGTTAAAGATGGATGTGATATTATTAACCACTAACTACGTTAATTATATCCCCATTTGTGCCATCAATCCGCGAGCCAATGTACGCTGTTCTGAAAATGGAGCCAAGGCTGATTTTGTCTTTTGAATTTTTCTGGTCCACCTTAAATGAAGCAGAATGTAAACGCTGCACCATTTAAGGTGGACCTGGAAATTCGAATAAGTAACTGTTAAGACAACTTCAGCTTCCTAAGAGAAGTTGGTGATGTCTAACCGAATGAGCGCGAGTTAAAAACAACTTCACCCAAAAAACTGACGTAAAATAGTTTTCTCTGTATTCAGATAGTGTTCGTTTGCTCATTTTAAGCCCGTTTCAACGCTTGGAGACCGTTTACACCGCTTGAAAAGAGGAGTAGAAGAGGTGAAAAGGAGGAAAAGATGAGGAGACGCCTCAGGATAACAAACCCAAAACAACACGACGCGAGTTCCCTGACGAGGCTGAAGTTGGCTTCCTATTCAGCAGCTTCTGGTTCGAATTGTCCCGTTCCACCTTAAGTGGTGCAGCAGGTCCAGACTCCAGAATGTAACTGCTGCACCATTTAAGGTGGAACGGGAAAATTAGAACAAGAAGCTGGCGCATTAGAAGCTGACTTCAGCTCCGTAGTTCCGTGTAGGTGTTTACTACGCGGGCAGTGTGAAATAAAACCCCTCAAATCTCACCAAAACACGGATTAAACGCGGCCTCCGGTCGACAGACAGCCCCTGCCCTGATTCCCGGTGGACAATAACCGAGTTTGTGGCTTTTATAACGCAGTGAAGAGCCGTTAGCCGCCGTGCTACCGACTCTCGCGGGTCCGCCGCTCTGGTTTAACGGATTTCGTGTCTGTCTTTTTCTCCTTACCTGCTCGCGGTCGCGGCGCGTGTTCCCGTTTCGTGGTTCGCTCGCGCTGTCGCGGGGCTCCGGCCGAACCGTCCGCTCTCTCGCGCTGCTGCGGCTGCTGCTGCTCGTGCTGAAGTGCTGGACAGCGGCAGCAGCAGCAGCTCCGCTTCATAACGGTTTAAACGGGAGGGGAGGGTGCTGCCTCCTAGAGCCACGGAGGAGAACTGCAGCTTTTAAAAGGTGCGGAGTGTGAGCTTCGGCTGGGTCCAGAACACATACTACACACTTAAAAAAGAGGGTTCTTCAAGGGTTCTTTAGTAAAAGGAATAGTTCTATTTAGAACCATGAGCTCTATATAGAAACATTTCATGCTTAAATGGTTCTTTGCTTGGTGAAAATGGTTCTTCAGCTTGATAGAGAATGTGTTGTATATGGTTCTGTAGAGAACCTTTTTGGAAAGGTTCTATATAGCACCAAAAAGGGTTATTCCATTGTTACGATGTCAAGCTGGTAACAATAGAAGAGCCTTTTTGATGCTATATAGAACCCTTTTCAAATTACCAAGCTTGATATTGCAACAGAACCAGTTTTGGTGCTACATAGAACCATTTAAAAAAATGTACTATATAGAACCATATACAGCACATTCTCCATCAATCTGAAGAACCATTTCACCAAGCAAGGACCATTTAAGCATGCAAATGGTTCTCTGAGTGTTTATGGTTCTATATAGAACCACTGTCTTTACAGAAGAACCCTTGAAGAACCAACATTTTAAGAGTGTAGAACCATTTTCATAAAGGTTCTGTATAGAACCATCTACAGCACATTATCCAACAATATGAAGAACGATTTTACCATGCAAAGAACCATTTAAGCATGCAAATGGTTCATTGAGTGTTTATGGTTCTATATAGAACCATTTTCTTTACTAAGGAACTCTTGAAGAACCAACATTTTTAAGAGTGTAGAACCATTTTCAAAAATGTTCTGTGTAGAACCATCTACAGCACATTCTCCATTAATATGAAGAACCATTTCACAATGCAAAGAACCATTTAAGCAAGCAAACTTATATATAGAACTCATGGTTCTAAATAGATCCACTGTCTTTAATGAAGAACCACCTTTTTAAGTGTAAATCATACTAAACAAGATGCAGAAGTAGCACAAAGCCATTAGTAATTCATTTATTAGTACAGCGTGTGTACGCCTTAATGATGAAGATGGTTCTTCAAGCGTTCTTTAGTAAAGAGAATGGTTCTACATAGAACCATGAACAACATAGGCATTAAAACGTGCAGAAGTGTAACTTATTTTCACTTTAAAAATCAACAAGCCCTGTAATTTGGGGTGCAAAAACTTTTGCACTAAGCCATGTGAAAATTAATTATTTGTTCTTTTTTAATGAGATCCATATAATATATACAGGGTAATATATACAGGATTTGTTGTTTATACTCTTTATGTATAGTTTAATATTTTAATGATTTCAGTATCAACACAAATACACACACACACATTATCTAAGCCACTGATCCTCCTGGGTTGCAGAGGGTGCTGGAGCCTATCCCAGCAGTCACTGGGCGAAAAGCTCAACAGAAATAAAAAGTACTAAATTGTTTCCCCATCCTCCCTCTACTCCACACAACATGGCTGCTTTTTTCTGCGATTCACCGGCGCCATCTGCTGGGAGAAAGAACTAAGTATTGGCAGAGAAAAGGAAATTTTGTTAAAGGTTGTTACCGATTTTTTAAAATTACTGCATATTTCACTCAATGGGATGTAAAAAGCCTCATTCAGAGTGGTTTGATGTGGTTCATTGCAGACTTGCAGACTCTGATTTCTTTACAGTGGTGGTGACAGGAACCAGGAGTCATTATGTCTACAACACAAATATTTAATAATTAATAATTAATAAAAAATTAATAATTTTATTCACTCTCCAAATCAACACGTGAACCTACACGTCTTTTACATTTTTACATGTTGATCATGATAAAACTGTGAAAAAAAATCTTTCTTTTTCTACCTATCTTTTCATTTTTCTTTGGGGACTATTTTTTGCCTTTCAACGTCCTGCATGTGCCCACCACCATGAAGTGGATTAAAAAATATATTTTTGGCCAAAACCTTATCTTAATAAAATATACTGTAAAACAATGTCTCGATTGTTTTATAACTATAATTCTATTTCATGTAACAACTTTCTGTGAGGGAGCTCTTAGACTCATTCAACTCATCAGATGTCTGGTTCCTAACACCACAACTTTAAATGTGTCGGTGACATCTTAAAAAAAATCTACACATAATCTACATATATATATATATATATATATATATATATATATATATATATATATATATATATATATATATATACACACACACACACACACACACACACATTACCACTGTTGGTAGACCCATATGACTGTACGCTTCGATACACCTGCAAATTCAGCGACTTCCTTCACACTGTGGCCTTTGGCTGCCCAAATGCAATCACTCCTTTCTGCCATTAACATCTGCTTTGCAACCCATGTTACACACATCAAACGAGACATTCACTGTACTGTACCACCTCTTCTCAATCTATGATTCCCGTCGCACGTCCAGAAGGTATTTATAGCCCGATCATCCTTGTGCAACAATACACACACACACACATATACACATATATATATATATATATATATATATATATACACACAAAAATGATTTTCGGTAACTGATTTAGACTTTTGACCCCTACTGAATATGTCTCAAGATGAAAGAATACTCATAAGCCGACTAACTAAAGCAAACTGTTTTTATTTAAAGGAGTAATCTTCAAAACATGGTTAGCCGATTTTGCACCACAGTAATAACCTGAGAATTGAAACGCTCGATGAAATAAAACTGCCACAGCGCATTTTCATACCTTTTTGTAACAATCAAACATGATACGAAGGCACAGAACTTTTAATCTCTCTTAAATGACTTTCTGAGTAAGGATAAAGTATCGCTCCTGCAGAACAGCAAAATGAGAAGAAGGCAAAAGACAGCAGGTTAAATAGTGAGGTACATCAGGCCATGACAGGCTGCTCTGTGTTCAGTACACTAGATGCTAGCTGAAAGGAAAGATGAAGTAATCTGAAGCTAAATGTTAATAATAAGCAGCGGTTTTGATATTGGCGCTGTGTCAAGCATTAGCTTCTTTAAAATCAATGGTTCAGCTGAAAAATCTAATTTACACAATGAACCCCTTATCCCAAATGGTAAATTAGCCAAGATATGTTTTGTGAAGTTTGCTTCTTTACTACTGCACTAGAGCTACGACGCTAATGTAGCTGACAAGTAACATTAGCCTAGCCACCAGTTACTAAAATGTAAACTTGATGTCTAGATCATCACATACTTTTCTCAAACTGTGTTAGGATGTTAAGTCTTCTCAAATAGACTTGCTTGTCTGGCTTCTGACACTCTATGACATACTGCAGTATGTGGCAGAGCTAAACACTGTAGTAGCAGATATTAGTACACAGTACGTCCAAAAGCTTGTAGACGTCTGCTCATTCAACATTTTTTCCAAAATCAAGAGCATTTATAAGCAAGCCAGTAACAGCTTCTACTCTACTGGGAAGGCTTTACACTAGATGTTGGAGCATTTGCTGTGAGGATTTGCTTGCATTCATTAATGGTGGATGATTACTTCTGGATCATTCATCCCAAAAGTATTAGATGGAGAGCATTCAGAGAACACAGTTCCACTGCTGCAGTCCAATGCTGGGGGGCTTTATACCTATCAGGAACATGTCTGGCATCGGGCATGGTGACCATTCTATTGGCAATGCTTTTCTATGGAGATTACACAAGCTATGTGTGCGGCATTGAAACCCTGCACCAGCAATGGGAGCACTTAGAATGAAGGGATGCCTGGATCCTTTTGGACCTACAGTGTAGTCTCAGCTTTAGATGCTCCGTCCACAAAGGTACACAGACTGTCTGATATTTTCTGTATGCTAAGATGTGCACAACTATCAGAATGTCAGTTCCTCGTTTGCTGACACATAGCACATAGTTCTGTTTTTCTTGTAGCACCACTTCAATTATCGTCAAATACTGTCGTCTGGGATTGGCCAAACTGCACATCAATCAAGAAATGCTTTCCTGTCACAGCAGGAGGTTCCTGGCCACGCTGAGTGACAACAGCATATAGTGTCTCACACAGCGTAAAAAAACTACATAAGAAACAAAGTGTGTGATTATTTAGTTCAGACTGCACAATGCTAAATTCATGGCTATAAGCTTTCATTATTTGTTAGCTATATTAGTTTTATAGCTATTAGCCTTTTTATGAAGTGCAAAAGTAAAACAAACTATGGACACCAAACAAATCTTGGCTGATTGAGTACATTTCGGCTAAGGTGGGAAAAGTGTAAAACTGATTTTCACCCCAATCATGACTTTACATAACTGCCAAATTATGCTGTTTTCAAGCTAAGTTCCTAAAGCTATCATAACAGGTCATTGTAAAGTGTTATGTACAGCAAGCAATCCGATGCTTTTGGGAAATTAGGCCCTGTCAGATTAACTTTGTGCTGAATTTACTTCCAAAAATGTACATACAAAAAGATTTCTATGTAGAACTTGTTTGAAGAAGCATTGTTGCAAGGCATGTTGTAGCTAGGTAGCATACATTTTGTAGTTTAGAATTTGTGACAATTTAAAACTCTGCACAGCCACCATGGGGGTTGTATTCATATTCGTATGGATGAGGCAATGTACATTAGCATTAGTGTGTGATTGTATCGTGTATTGATGATAGGGATGATTACGGGATGTAGTTGTGAGGGAGAGTGTTATTTCTTGGCCATTAGTTTCAGTCATTAGAGAGGATGCTGCTGGCTGTAACTGTGGGAGGGATGACCCTGAGTGACCGCTTGAGTGGCCTGCTCAGGAACCAGGCTGGGGTCCGTCAGGATGGACGTGGAGGTACTGAGCAGACGGAGTGAACTCAGAACGGCTGAGATAAAAAGAGAGAGAAAATAAAAATAAATAAATTAGTTAAAAATTTTATTCAAAAAAGCTGTTTCACATTTTAATGTCACTACCAAAACACAAATAGGTTTGGTCCATAGACGGAGCCTTATTTTAGCTTATTTTAGCCACACCCCTGTATTTTAGAGCAGTAAGTGAGACTGCGTCCCTGTTCCTCAGGGACAAACAATTAGCAGTTAAATTCCACTGTTTTGCAGTAAATGTGTTTCAAAGTCTGAAAATCAGCATGTAACAAAGAACTGTCACTACTGAAAAACATACTTTCTGCAATTAAGTAAACTTTCTTTGTGTTTTAATGAAAAATATTATGGTTTTATGTATGTAAAACTGTTCAAAGCTGTTTTTGCTAGTGAAGTATGGACAGTGTTTTTGAGTCAAACTCAAAATGAGCTAAAATTGTCACTTCCAAAACCAATTCGGTAGAATGATCCACTTAGAATGCTCGTATTTTAAAAAAGTGGTGATCAAATCACAAGACAGTTAATTTGACAAAAATCTGTGAATAGATGAATATATTATTTATCATTTAACCCTTGTGTGGTGTTCATGTTTTTGTTACTCTGTGGGTCTAGTGGACCCACCGCATTTTTGTTTTTGTAAATCAATAAATTAAATTGTTTTTTTGGCTTCCTGCAAACTGACCAAATGTTCCCAACCTTTTGCAACATGTGGCCCACATAACTGACCACGAAAGCTAACTAAGTTTAAGACTAATAAGGTTTGCCTATTAAAATTTCACTGGACAGTATAATAATGCAATATAATAATAAAAATTCTATTTGTAGCCTTTTATCCATGATGGACGAATTTCACACAATCGAAAAGAGAAACGTTTCACATTGCACTGCAGTGAAAACATAAACGTATCTAGCTTGGTATACTGGTTGCATCTGTCATGCATTTTGCCAGAGCAATCAGCAGCTTGATTAAATATAAAGCAAATTTAGTTGCTTTATATTTATATGCTTTATATTTATATGTAAATATTTAGCACAACAATAGTTTTGTCATTTGTCAATTGTCAAATTACTGGTACGGTTAAATGTCTTTATAATGTAATGAAGTTTTGCAATAAAAAAAGGCTGTCAGCAGCTCCCTAGCAGAACTAGCACAGCCCACTGGAGGACGCGGCCACAGGCTAAAAACCGTTAGTATAGATAATAAGCATCATATTTAAATCACTGTATATGACTATGGCATGCTCCAGCCCCCTGGGCCCCGATGTTGGACGAGGGAGCCAGCAGGACGGCGGGGGAAGAACCGCGAGTGAGTGGAGGATGGAGCGCAAAGCAAGAGCTCCACCGAGGGACGCGAGTGACAGCGGGAGGAGGAAGACAATGATGCCCGCCACGAGAGGCACAAAGGCAGGGATCGAGTCTTGAACGCTGCCACCTGGGCCCTGCTCCTGTTCCACAGCGCGGCCGCCATCGGAGCCCCCGGGAACGGCCGCACACCGCAATGACTATCTACAACAAAACTGGTTTTATGTTCTTGATAACAGGGATATTGTACTCACTGGGTCTGAGGGCGGGCAGGGAGCAGTGCTGGTCCAGCCAGCTGAGGGTTGTACGGCACAGGTCCTCCACACTGGCTGTGGACACCATACTGTTATAGGACTCAAACAGAGGCTCCATAATCACACTGAACTAGCACCGGCAGTTCAGGAACATACTCAGAAACTGAAGCACAAACTGAAATACACATGAACACAGCCTAGAATATAGCCAGATAAATTCAACTATACACACTATTATCTACGATCTATGCCATATGTATATGTACATGCATCTGAAATAATATGTTCTATAACTTATATCCTAAACCTAATGTGCCTTTTAAGAGTCCTTTAAAAATTTAACATGGAGCTTTGTAAAAAAAATAATAATAATAATAACCTTGAGCAAAATCATAATCATTTTGTTGGATCTAAGGTAGGCTAGCTCAACAAAGTTCTGAAAACCAAGGATACAATCCAGAACTTCCAGTTCTGCAGCGTCTGAGCCCGGACATATTCTCTGAACTTCTCCCTCATGTGGTCAAAGCGCTGACGGGTGATGGGAACGCCTGTAGCAGGGAGCTGTTGCTGACACACACTGTATCCAAGAGAACATTGGATTAGAATGTAAGATTAGATTAGACTGTAAGTAGAAACACAGGTAAACACACAGGGACAAACATGCATGTTAAAACTATTTTAAACTACTCTGCATAAATTTTGGGGATCTGGAGGTGTGGAAACGGGCACGCAATGTGCAGATGAACATTTTGTAACATAGGTTGTCCTTCGGCCCCCAACAAGCAGATGAATCTGATGATTGTGAGCATGCCTAAAGAGTATTTCATGGGAACTCAATCAAAACTTGCTGAAACTTGCTGTGACTAAATTATGTACTATTGTCATTATATCTAATTATTGGTTACACACATCAGTAGAGGTTGAGAATGGACCACCACTCCATACAAAAGCATCTCTGTGGTAAAAAAACTGACCATCAGTGAAGGGCTAATGGCCAACACAAGCTGTGCATCATCAGCTGGGTTACAGTCTCCTACAGAAGGCTGGATACATGCTGCTTGTGCCTGTTAAATGCTCTGTATATTACTGCTATCTCAGCTACACATTATGTGTTAGGAACAAAAGAGGGAAAACATTCTTAAGAACGGTTACTGCAACATTAAAAACTGTAATTTCGGACAGTTTCTGTTGGTCCATTCATAGACATGATTTGTATTTTGATAACCACCACCTACTGGCTTCCTTCAATTATTAGCATTGTTAGCATGTTAGGAGGAGAGGAGTTTTCGCACTTGATGGCAGAGTTGAGCACCAAGATCTCATCTCGGAGTCTCTGCGCCTCCTCATGGAGCTGCGCTCTCTCCTGCTGCATCTTACTGATGTACTCCGCTGTCTTCTGCAGAGTGGTAGCTTTACTGATCTGAGAGAGAGAGAGAGAGAGAGAGAGAGAGATCACAAAACGGACTTAGCAAGAATCAAAGGGGAATTCAACAGATGACCACGTAACCTTAGGTTCATGTGCAGCTGTTTGAGAGTGTCTCATTCTGATGGAGAGTATACAAGCTGTGTGTGTTCAATTGAACGCCTGTGTCAGCAAAGAGCACCTTAAAGTAATTGAATTCACTAATTAGAAGCAGTGTCTGGATACTTTTTGGATATATAGTGTACACAGTTGTAGTACCTTAATGCTGGGCTGAGAGCTGAGTGTTGTCACCAGGCTGTGTAAGGTGTCAAATCCCAATTTGATATTAAACCTCCTCTTCTGCTCAGCAGATATGTGCGTGATTCGTCGTGTATCTGTCTGTAATAGAGAACAATATGAAGATCATTCTTATCAAATGGAGTGCAAATATGTGTGTTGTGTGCTTATTAAATGTGTCAAAGTTAAAGCATTTTCCTAGTTTGACCGTTTGAACCGAGTTACAGCAGTAACACACTACACACTATTTCTGTGACTGTGGCCCTCTTGTTCAAATACAGCTTTTAAAAGTCCCATTGATGACCCTCTTGATAAAAGTTAATTCCACACAGCACACATTTCCAGCTTGTGTCAGTCCATTTCAGATGAGCTTTAGCCCAGAGAAGTCGACAGCGGATACTGTTGATATATAGCTTGCACTTTGCATAGTCTTAACCTGCATTTGTAGATGCAGCGACAAACTGTGTTTACTGACAAGAGTTTTCTGAAGTATTCCCAAGCCCAGCTGGCTACATTATCTACACATGCATGCCAGTTTTAATGCAGTGCTGTCTGAGTGATCGAAGGTCACAGACATTCAATGTTGATTTTCCTTGCCTTTTTATGCACACAGATGGTAAAATCCCTAAATTCTATGCCATCAGGTATTGACAAACGTTCTTAAATTGCTGTATTACTTACTAGCGCAGTTTTTCACAATGTAGCAAACTTCAACCCATCCTTGTTCATAAACAACTGAGCCCTTCGTGAATGCTGCTTTTATACTAAATTATGATAGTAATATCTGTTACCTATTCACCCGTTTACTTGTGGAAATGTCCAAGACAAGCGTTTCTGATCATTCCACAATATTCCCAGTCTTACATTGCCCTGTTCCAATTTTTTGGAATGTGTCAAGGTATCAAATTAACTAATTAGGAATTAGCGTATATTTACAAAAATCAATACAGTGGATAAAGTAAAATATCAAATATCTCTATTTTGTGCTGTTGCCAATAAAATACAAGTGGAACTGTTTTCTGTTTTCATTTGCATTATTTGCATTCCAATTTTTTTGGAATTGGGTTTATAGAGCAAACAAGATAAACGCTTACCCTATTAGGCTCTGTCTTAGCTACTCCAGGTAAGGTGTGTGAAGACTCCAAGCTTTTCTCAGAAGGATTGGTTGGGGACGTTGGGCCGAAGTTTCCTGAAAAGCTCACTGAAAATCAAGTGGAAGAAATTCTATTCACAGAATTCTAAATAATAAAATAAAGGCCTATTCCCCAAGTTTGATTCTTGGCATTTTTAACATAGAGGAACCTCCACATCAGGTCCAATGCTTTAAGGAAGGAGAAACGACCTTGAGTAGTAGCAACAATGACTTTATCATTTTTTTTAAAGCACTATACCTAAAAATGGCACACATGCTCCATCAGTTTCATACTCAATTGTTCATTTTTGTTGGTGTGAATAGGCCTTAGACTTCTCGTCTACACACGCTGAGTTTTTTGTTGTTTTGCATGTTTACTGGCAAATTATGTAATGATTTGAGAAGTAGAAATAAGCTCAAGCTTGAATTGGTTGTCGATCTAGTCTGGCCTCAGGGAATCATCATGAGTTAAGCCCTTAAAAGTTAAGCATTGTACGAGTAATTATGTGTCACTCATAGCGCGTTGAAATGAGAAATTGCTTAATCAATACCATATTTGGATTCTTAAGGAGAAGAGGAGTTTATTATGATTTAACTTTAATGTGTTTTTTGCCATTGAAAAAACACAATAAATGTACAGACTCAAATTTGTGGATACAGCATAGCAAAATGTCTATAATAACTCAAGATATCAAAAAGTGAAAGACAACCTAGTGTACCTGTTAGGCTGTTAGTCCTCTCTGGGGTGTGGATTTGAATGGGCGAGAGTTTCTCGGTCTTGGGGATGAGGAGCGGGGGCCTCTGGGTGAGGAGAGAGGAGACGGTGGAGCTCTGGGCAGAGCTAGTCTGGGGAAGTATTGGCGTCTGCAGCGGAGCCAATGGCAGAATCTCCGCAGGGGGCCACGTAGGAGGCTGGCATGCCTGTGACTCTCCACGACCTGCTGACATGCTGCTGGTGGACTGCTAATCATGAAAAGAAGCACCCTGTTACCTCTGCGGTTTCTTAGAATAATTTAAACTGGGCATTTACACAATATAGCATTGTGTTTGAAGCAAAATGAGGGTGAGGACTAAGCTATTATCTGTGTTTGGTGACCTTATAATCAGGGATAAAAAAGGCACATGGACTTCAACTGTTATAAAATGTTATTTAAAAATATGGTTAACCATTTAATGGTTTTATTATTCAATTCTGGGTCATTTTCATAGAATTATGGCTAGTAAATGACTTTGCTGTCCACAACATGCTGGCTCATTTCTGCAGTACCTGAAAGGCGTGTAATGATTTAATGTTTAAATGTGCAGCTTTTGGAACTGGAAAATAGCTGGTTTGGTTATTCTGCCTCGCTTATCAAAAGCTGTTTGAAGTAGCGAGATCAAACTGTGGTAGATCAAACTGTGACAGAGTGCCAACATTTGTCAATGCGAGGATCAAATACCCATGCTAATACCTCAAATATGCTCACTCATTTGTAAGGACATCACCCAAATGTGTCAGCTACCGGGGCATAGGGAAAATGTAAAGCTACAGTTATTCAGCTTCTTATTTGAATTTCCCATTCCACCTTAGATTTAGCAGAAACAATATTTTGCTACTATATCCTGCTTACAATTTCAGTTATTAGGCACTGGAATTAAGAGCACTTACTGCTGAGCTGGGAGAAGTTGGTCTGTGGCCCTTTGACCCAACAAATTGAGCGTCAAAACCCAACGTCGGTTTTCCTAAACCAAATTGAGGATAAACAGTGACACTTGCAGCACTGAGATAAACAGTGAAGAAGAAAAATGAATGGATGAAGTGAAATATGTTGTCTCCTGAACATACGCTCTTGAGAGCCAGAGGACAGGAGCTTGGCCAGGCAGCTGGTTTGTGCAGGCGGGGTTGCAGATGTAGCTACTGTCGTGGGAAACCCTTTAGCCCTTCCAGTCTTTTGTTTGTGTTTCCCTCTGCCCATCTGCTGTGGCATAGAGAAGCAGTGGGCACTGCCAGGCGAGGGCATGGCTGCCGGAGGCAGGGCCACGGTCATCGGCTGGTAACCCAAAGAGACACACGCGCTTTGGGTCAGCATGTCGGGCAGGCTGGGGTAGCCTTGGCCCTGTTGGGGATCTTGTGGCAGGACGTTTATGGCAGACCCCGTGTGGGTGATGACGGTAGATGTGACAGCAACGCTGGCACCTGAATGGCTGGATGATGGGTGTCTATATCTCAGGCAACTGGCTGGGTACAGGTAAGGGTTCTCCTGTGACATGGAGGTGGAGGACATGTGTGAGGTTGCCACGGCAACACCAGGGCCACTGAAGGACTGCTGCTGCCCATATGAGTCTATGTGGGGAGGGAGGGCGAGAGAGTGAGGGAACTGGTTGGGGGGGCCGTACTCCGAATGACCCTTGAACTTGGGCTCGGTCAAGTTCATGCCACTGGTATCGAAGGTCATGTCAGTGGTCAAAGGCTGCTGTAAGTAACCAGGGCTTGGTAAGCTGACTGCCGTGGAGGGTTGTGACAAACTCTCAGCTGTGGGCTGTGGAAACAGACATTACTTATCGTACTAAAATTATTATAACCCACAGATTATTGCATAGTAATAACCCTTTATCACATGCTGTCTTTAAAATTATTACTATCAACAGGTAGAGATATCAACATGTCTCGAATTACATGTTAAACTAGAAAAGATGAGCTTGAGCTGACATTATGTGTTATGTGGCACACTATGTAAGCTCCCAGGCCTAATTTACAGTACACTTGTATTGTTTACCAGCTACATCACAGCAAATATAATCAGTCATTTTTTCTACATATATTTCTTCAACATACATGGTTTCTACATTTTCTTCATGCAGTACTGTGCAAAAGTCAGATGACAACCTATATTTAATTAAGTTTTAGTCAAAACGGCCATTAAACAGAAGTTCTTAAGAACTATGTCTGAGAAGATTAGATATAAGGTAATCCACTTACATAAGGAAGAGACAAGTTAGAGGAAAAAAGAGAAAAAAAAGCAGTTTATGAAATGAATGTGATTTGAAAAGTTGAAATAAGCTTAAGCCTGTAGATCTAGTCTAGTTTAAATGTTAGAGTAAAAAAGAGAAAAAAAGGAGTTTATGAAACTGGATTTCAAAAAATGATTAACAGAAACAAAGAAAATGGGACTCCTAACATTCATGTAAAACCTGAATTGCGAGAAGCAGAAGATGCAACCAACTAAAAGTGAACTTTGGAGGTGTGTAAAAACATCCCTGCAGATTTCTTTGAACAACTGAAAGCAAGTCTCCTGAAAAGAACAGAAGCTGTAATAAAGATAAAAGATGGACACACTAAATACTAAAAAAAGTTTTCTGCTTTTTTGCTTGATGCTGCAAGCAAAAAACCTGTACTTAATGGCTGTGTTGACTAGAAAATAAATAAATGAAGGGTGTTTTTTGATTTTTGCACATTAATGTATGTTTGGTTCTGTACATTCGTATTGTTTTTGCAGGAGATGTGAAAAAAGAGGAAGTGAAAAAGAGTAAGATATCACTGTATATATAGTATATGTAGTATATAAAGGTGTGTACATGTGGTTTTAACATGGTTTTATGACAAAATATTGTAGAGACTTTTTTTGTGTTTGCTTTTGCGCAGTTTGTATTTTTGTATACGTCTGAGCAGTGTGTGCTGTTTACCTGTGTAAGCTGAGGCCCTGTGTGCATCAGAGCCGTACTGCCCACAGTGGAGGGGCTAGAGGAGAATGGGGCACTGGACGAATTCTCAAAGAAGCCACAATCAGCATAGCAACTCTGCTCCAGAGACTGCCCACGATAACTCACAAAGATGTCTGCAACAAGCACAATGAATGTAGTCAGTTCAGGCTCAATCAATACACAGCTGAAAGTCAATGATGTCAGCTTCAACAACATGCAGACATATGCATGGTTTCCACTGGGCATGAGGTGACAATCCCCCACCCCTTCAACACCCACTTTCAAAGTTAGCCATAGGTTCTTGGGGAAATCGCTAAAATAGGTAAGGTGTGTGCTGAGCCATCATAATCTGGATGATAATATCATATATACTGGATGATAATATCATATACACTGTTTTTCATTGCAAGGACTCAAATGATAACATTAATTCTAAAGGCAATTTAACATCAAACTACTTCGACTTTGTTTGCATCTCAATCACTGAATTATTCCTAAATTTAGAAAAATCAATGGAATTTCCCTTCAAGGGGAGTGTCTGTTCATGTTTATGAAAACTCGGCAGGGCCACAAAAAAACAGCGTTTAGAAGAAACTTTGACCCTTATGACAAAACTATGCCAGTATAGAGAGTATACTGTCCACTTTATTGGAAACACCCATCTGTAGTTCATCTGTTATTAGTCACTATTTTCCTACCCCATTCATCACTGGTCAGTGTCTGACCATAGGGCTGCTCTTGTCCAGATATTATTTGGGTGGCGTAACCCTTCCTAGCACGGCAGAGACACTGACATGGCAGTGGCATGGTCAAGCACCGAAAAATATCCAACCAAGAGCAGCTCTGTGGTCAGAAATTGGCAAATGATGATAGTTTAGAGGATGGCTAACACAAACTACACCTCATCAGATGTTTTGTGACATGCAGTTGATTTAAATAACTTACAGGCCTAGACTAATGATGGATAGTCGAACAGAGATAAAAAGCAGCCTATGCTGTCCTATAGTAACCTCTTACCCACTCGCTGTCTATTTTTCACTCTTCCTGTGGTAGCACCCATAAGACCTTAAGATGGCCATTCATTGTTTACCACATCCCCTTCAGCTTCCACATTTCACTGCTGATCCCTTCTTTAGCTGATCCCTGACCTATGTATAACCTTCCCTGTGATCTTTTACATGTAGACAAGACTACAGGCCAACGAAGATGACCCTAAAATATACAAAAGAGATGCAGCAAGATAAAACTTCACTTCCACATCAAACACTGATCAGACCTGCTTTGAAAAAGATTTTTGATGAGTAAGTGTCCTTGCAAGAGAAAGTGAACTTCTGCACTTCCTTAAATACAACCCATTCTACAGGATATACACATTGCTCACTAAGGAAACCATTCTACATGCACACATATTAACACACATATGAAACTGATAATCCCAATCCATCCAGTTATTACAAATAATTTCAAAACTGCAGAAATACCAAGGTGTTTTTTTAATTAACCACATGCCAAAACCTTTCATTTTGATACATTTTCTGTGAAAGCGAGTGAAATTATACAAATTACTGTAGCGTTAAGTGCCTTTCAACAGTTTGCAATCTTATAATTTTATTTTGGGCCACTACTTTTGAACAAAGCTGCTGCTTTAAATACAATGGTTGCTAATGCAGGTCTTGCAAATGCAGTTGTGACTTAAAAGAGAACTGATAAGAAGGACTATCGCTGCTATGTATTTACATCCACACAGTAATCTTATCTGTGTAGTACGCTAAGGCTTTTCTTAGAGCTTAACTCAAAATATTCTCAAAGCAAATGATGAATTAAAGTAAACTGGAACATGCAGCTACAGTCATATATTTCATCTAACATTCATGCTTTCATTGAAATTAAGCTTTTTTAAGGAATTGTCCTAAATCCACATTTTACTTGGCCGAAGGACAAAATCATTGGTATCATCAAGAGATCAGCTGGAGTGCTAACGTTTTTTAAAAGTAAATTAAATTACAGAATCTACATTATTTTGCTAACATTACCCTTAACTGAGTCCTGGTTCTTAACTCTATATAAAATTGATGTTCCAGAAAAAGCACATCTATAACATATTGTGTGAGCATGCCATGTGATTTGGTGGTAACATAGCTACTTCTCAGCCAAACTGGGGTGTGCATAGCACAACACAAAACACCCCGTAGATGATGAGTTTACTTGTCCGACACAAACTTTCACTTGTCATGGAAAAGCGGACAAGCTTTAATGTCAAGCCCTGCATGTGTTTTTGCAAAGTACCTAAACTACAAAAGATTGATATTAGCTTAGACTGATCAAGGGTGAAGAGAACTAAGGTTAAAGTTCCATTGTGCTCCTTACTTATGACCTACTGCAAACCTTTTGTCAGATCAGCATAAAAAGGCAACTATTACCATCTTAACTGTATAAAGCAATACTTGCTGTACCATTTCCACAAAAAAAGTGATGCACTGAATTTACTTGATTCAACTACGTGGCAAAACAGTGCTGAGCTACTGAGAGAGCAAGTTATTAGGCTCATTTCTCCATACAGTCTATGATAAACTATGAGCCTATATTTGCCTTTCTGCTGTTACATGCTGTAAAGTGATGTAGAAAAACGTGGGTGCTGTTTTGATCCATGCAGGAACTTTGTTTGAGATTTTGAAACAGTGGATTTTCTTGGTACTGGTCTCTCTTACAGTAAGAAACTCGGTCTGACGAATACACATGCAATTTTTGCCAAAAAGTGTTTTATCTAGTAACTAGTATTTATATCTTTGTAGTAAAGTTTAGAATTGAAAGATTGTTTAGCCTTTAAAAAAGACAGATTACTCAAATATTTGTCAAAATAAATATAATCAACTCATATAATCAACAGCAACAACACTGTAAAATATACCACACTAACACAATTATTGACAAAATTAAGTAAACTGAAAGTCAAAACTGTGGTGACATAATATGTTCTATTCATGCGAGTAAATTCAGTGCATTATGTTTTTCAGTGTACGGAGCATTTGTTCCCTGCAATACTGGACTAAAGATGAGCAAGCAATATATTCAGCTGTCTATTAACATAATACAGGTACAATGAGAAAGATTTACCTGGAGTGTCCATGAAGTCATCCAAATTGGGCTGAAGAGGGGTCAAACCAGGCTGGATCATATCAGCATTACTGGTGTAGGCTGACAGAGAAAGAGGAGTTATCACATTAGAGATGCATCTGTGTATGTATGTAAGTATGTGTGTGCACACATTTATCCGTTCCTTGTTTTTGGGGGCGGTGTCTTCCTGAATCAAGTTTACAAAATCACATGACCACTGGATAGGAAAGGGTGTCACATATGTCAGCATGCAATACATCACACTCCTTTTCGCTGCTTTTTGCAAAAACACATTGATTTTTTATTGATTCTTCATAAACCATCAAGAAATCTCAAATTTCACCTTGATTACCATTAGATTATTTTGATATTTGATATTTGGCATTTCAAAATTGAATTGCGCACACTACTTGTATAATTGCCATAAAAAGCACTGACCAATAGAATTGAACTACAGCCTTACTTGAGCTCATGTAGCTTTACATGGGGAAGTGCTGTAATTTGAGCGATTACTGTTGAGACCCATGATTTTCAAACCAATTTGAATCTACCATATCTGTAGTGTGTACAAGTCAGCTAAGTATTAATTCCAGAGTGAATGGTCCTCCATAATTTGTCAAACTCAGAGCTCCTTCAAGACAGGACAACTATAATGTAAAATATTTTGGTGATGTGCTAATTAGAAGGAGAATGAAATTAAACATCTGAAAGTGTCTTTCACAGGGCAGAGTGATTTCTGTCCTGTTGGGTGATATTTGTTAAGTTAAATTAGCCCACTTTACCAGCCTAATGCTATTCTCTCTAGTCTTAACTGGAAGCTTGTATTTATTGTTTATTTGTTTGGATCCGTTTAATTAGAATATTAACCCTCCTGTTATGTTGTGGGACAGATTGACCCATTTCAAAGTTTAAAAATACAGGAAAGATATTTTGCCCATTGACAGATTTTAATTGGCCCATGGGTTCTGTTTTAGACAGTATTATAAGTAGCCTGCCAGCCAGTACGTTGCAGTGTTTGCTTTTAGTTAAAATTTAAGAGCCTTTCTTCTCTGACTAGACCTGCAGCTTAATTTACTTAATGAAATTCAGTTCAGGACTACAGCACTACACGCAGTCCATTCGACATGTTCTATTGATACTTTTACATGATTTAATAATTTGTTATAAGCACATACAGATCCAAATAGCTGTGAGCAATCCAACAATAGAAGAAGCCTCATGCATCTTATATACAGTGATAGGAAACACAGTAGAACACAGAAGGCTTGATTCTATGCACTGATAATTTGAAAACTTAATATTTTGAATCAATTGTGAATAACAATGCGGGCCTGAGGTATTCTGATGCGGTCTGCGATCTTAAATTCACCATGCCCGATGCCAAGCATCCGCTAAAGGGGTATAAAGCCCCCCAGACATTAAAATCAATGATAATATTCCAAAATTGATGTAGTTGAACAGTCATCTTCAGATTGGTGCATCACAATGCATCAAAGCCTTTTTACAAGAGGAACTGATCCAATGTCCAGTATCGTTATCAGCTCACTACCAACAGAAAATCTGACAGCAATTGTATAACATCAATCACATTACACCACCTCTTAAACTGATCTGAGAGTGTGTTCCAGCAGTACTCACTGTTGTGGCGATCTCCTGACCATGGGCACGGCTTCTGGGTCATGGTGAAGAGAGTGTCCGAAATATCAGAGAGGAAGCAATCCAAGTCAAACATGTGCACCTCCTCTGGGGTCACTTCAGGCTCAGGGTACATCTGATTGGACCATTTCTCCAGCCCCGTCCTGCAGATAGGGGTCTGAGGATGACAAGCAACCAATCAGCTTGTACCTTTTTTAAGCCTAAAGTTAAGAGAGTTAGATCTAAAGTTTGATCCACTCTTTTGAGTTTAGCAGTGCAAACATGGCATGCAGGACTCGACTGCTAAGAGTCAGATCCAGTCCTGCAATTAGTTACACTGACAGGGAAGACCTATTCTCCAATATCACTAAACGGCAAACAAATCAACTAGATCGTGGTTCTTAATCCTGGTCCAGGCTTTGGCTCCTTCATAGCACCCCTGGTGACCCCAGGTCACCCCAGTGCCCCTGGATGAAACGCCCTTGATCAAGTAAGTAGCAGGTCTTAATTGAGGGAAAATACTTAACTGTGCAGGACGGAGGTTCTCCTGGACCAGGACTGAGAACCACTGCAAGTAGACATTTAACTGGAGCTTAGTGCTCTCCTCCAAACACACTGACCCCTTTCAAACTGTTGGAAAGGTACAGTCCTCTCTTGGTTTCTGCCTATGTTAGTGCATAGCATTCGATGTCCAAACCCTGTCAATGACGACTGAGATGCATGGTGAACACCAGAGGGAGCCACGCAACTGTTTCAGTGTGGAAGTGTTGACTTAGCAATGCTGCCCATGCAGGGCAAGTATATGGTGTCCTATGCAAAGCACTAAAAACAATTATATAAATGAGAACATTGCCCTTGCACAGGATTGAAGGAGTCAGAGCACATCTTAACAATGGCATCAGCTAACAGTATGTTGCAGATATTAGAATACTACAGAAAAGACAATCCTTTCTCCCACTCTCAAGGTTTTCGAAAATTCAATAAGCATTTAGCTTCAGACGTTCCACATGGACTAGTCCAGCATTCTCTACCCAGGCCTTGGGGCCCACCAAATCTGTGTCTGTCCCAGCTGCTAATTCAACCTTGAACAAAAAAAGCATAGGCGTCTGTGTTGCATGTCCTCCCACATTTCAAAATCCAGTTTTTGTTTAGCTTGTTATTTTAAGCTGCTTTCACATCTAGTTATTTTGCTATCTAGTGAGTTATTACACCATAGTTTGGATTTCTGTAGCTTTGTGTCTTTTACATTTGGCTTGGTTGGTTTCACACTGCAGTGACTAAGTGTACCAAATTACGCAAGTGGGTGTTTTTATTTGTCAGAAATTTGGCAGGAATACAAGTGCTCCACTACTTTCACTTTCAAAACCATAAAATAGGAAAATAAAAGACACTTAACATCTTTGCAAATCACAATCAGGGCATTAATAAACCTTATTGGATCTCTGCTGCTTTATGATTGATTCGTCAATTTGAATTTAACCAATCAGACTGCTGACCCTTGGCCAAAAGTATGTTCCGTGATCTATGTGCCAATATCAAACGCATTAGTTCACTACTATTTTATTGCTCTGCTATTATTAGCTGCAGCTCGTGCTACAAGACCAATATGAGTGTCTGTAAAGAGTCAGATGTTAAAACAGGCAGATTATGCAGACAGTACAGAGCAGAGCTGCTAGTGACTGAAGAAAGCATACAGTGAATCCCTCATTCGGAGCAGACAATCATAAAATGCGCTCCCGAGAACTGAATCAAGGGGCCACTGCACTGTAAAAACTAAAGGTGCCTCATGTATTCAGTATAGTACTAAATAAACAAAAAATACATTTTAGGTGCCTCAAAAAACCTTCCCATATAATGGTGTTACTGAAGGAACCCTTGATAATGTACAAGCTCTTGCAGGAACCTCTAATTACCTCAGTGGATGCCATCAAGCACAATGTTTTCTTTTGAGTGAGCCCTCAAGTACCCTGGATAATTCATAGAAAAACTTTTAGGCCTAAAAGGTTTTTTTTTAAGAACCCTAGACGTTTCTGGTGTTCTTCAAAGTCCTGTTGTATTCTAGCAGGTTCCTTGAGTAACCAAGAGGTTTGGTGAGCACCTACATCCATGAAAAACATGACTGAACCAGTATTTGCGTACCTGCATATAAATTTCTTGTGCATAGGTTATTTTTTACCATGTGAATACTGCTACTGTCATTTCTTAAAAAACCAAACCACTGCTTTTTGAAACGATGCAGTACATAGTTAACCAGTCATATTTTAGTTCAATACATAAACCAAAACTTTAAGAAATACAAGATGAGAAAAATACAAGGAGTGTTCACACCTGTCAAAACAGACCAAACTGAAAAAAACAAAGGTAGGTCCGCACTAAACAAGACAGGTGTAAAAACACACTTACTTTTTGCACAGTACTGTCTATACAGCAAAGTCAACTAAGTGCCAGAACAAAGACCTGTTTAGCCAGGCAATTGGTTAGACCCAACTGCAAAGATTCAGCATCCAGTCCCTGCGATACAAACAGCTGCATTCTCAGAGGAGACCTACTCTACAATACCACTAAATGGCACACAAATCAACTAAACAGCTCCTGAAGTACTCCTGTCTTAGATTTCATTGTATTTTTTGGACCTTAACACAGGCACACTCAACCTAAATAATCAATTGCAGTAGCATGGAGTTGTAAATCCAAACAGTGTCATTGATTCTTTGCTCAAAAAATTGCAGAAATGTGGCACATGTAAGCTTGTATCCTGTTCCCTTGGATGTGTTAACTTATTTTCAATTAGAAAAAACAAAATATGGAATTTGACAGATGTGTTCTAATACAAATTTTGCATACAAATGTATATGTATCAGTGTGCTACACCCACAGTGTTTCTATAGTCACATAGGTAACAACATCTCAGTGCTGAGGAAACACTGGACTACAGAGTACTTGTAGTTCTAAAAACACATTTTTTATAATCAAGGCAGCAAAGAGGGTTCGCAATGTGGTTCTCAACTCTGGTCCTGGAGGCCCCCAGCCATGAAAATGAATGTTATTCCTGCTTCAACACACATGATTCAACTAATTAGCCAGTTAACCGACCTTCTCAAATTTAAATGTACAGAGAAGGGGGGTCTCCAGGAACCAGACTGACAAATACTGCCACAGAAGAAACACTTTTGGTTCCTAAAAGACAAACCATCTATAGGTTCAATGGATATTCCTTTAAAGAACCATTTCTGTACATGAGATGTGTGAATATGAAGAAACATTTCGGAGTTTAAAGAACCTCCAAATAATGTAAAAGTTATACATACAATTAAAAGTGTTGGTAACACCTTTCTGGGATGGCCCACTGTAGATGCTTTATTGATGTTAATTTTGCATTAAACTTACATTCAAGCAAACACACACACACACATGATCTAAACCGCTTATCCTTCTGGGTCACGGTGGGGTGCTGGAGCCTATCCCAGCTGTCATTGGGCGGAAGGCAGGATACACCCTGGACAGGTCGCCAGTCCATCGCAGGGCAGACAGACAGACATACACATTCACACACACACTCACACCTAGGGGCCATTTAGCATGTCCAATTGGCCTGACTGCATGTTTTTTTGGACTGTGGGAGGAAACCGGAGTACCCGAAGAAAACCCACGCAGACACGGGAAGAACAGGCAAACTCCACACAGAAATGACCCCCACCAGACTGTTAATCCAAATAAAGTGGGAGCAAAGTTTTTTTCCCTAGAATTCTACATTCAAGCCAAGAACCATAAAAGGGGAATTGTACATTTCTAAATTAATTAAAATATTTATAAAAATAAAGTCATTCAAAGTGGTTTGATGTGAAATATTTCATTCTAGAGAAACTTTAAAAAAAGTTCAAAGTCAAAATTGTTCACAGCAGTGGTGATAGGAACCAAACATCCAAAGCATTTAATGCCTCAGACATAATGTCTTATAAATCATTTTACAATAGTTTTGAGATAAGATTTTAGCCTAAAATGAATTTTTTTAAATTCATTCATGGTGAAGAAATACATGCAAACCATTGTAAAGAATTATATTACCCTAATAGTAGTGAAAAAAAAAAAACTTTTTTTCAATATTTACCACTATTTTATCACCACTATCCACCAATATTTTATCGATATAACTCATAAGACACATGTAAGTTCATACCAACAAGTTCATATGTTCGCAAATCATATTTGAGCTGTAGGTTCCTTTCATCTTAAGGAAATCTCAACATTTGCTCAAAGTTTCTCAACAATGAATCAAACTACTCAGAATTACTTTATAATCACAATGATTGAACTGTTCAAATTTGAAAAATCAGTGGAATTTTTTCATACACACACAAAGGATGTATGTAAGTGTGAGATACTCACAGCTCAGTACAGATTCCTTGGGACAGATCCATTTCAAGTTCTGGCACCAGTTCAAGACCAACCTACTACATCTCATCTCTATGTGTTAAGAGTGTCTGAACTGCAGCTTTATCCTCATCCCTTCTCCATGCAGACTGAAGCCCACCACCAGGCCAGTATTTATAGGGGCACCCAAAGTCAGCCGGAAACGCCGGCGATTACGTCTTTCCATCTACGCTGTTTTTCGTCCTGCACAAAAGCAGGCAAATTATAGTATTGGTCTGGATGTGTTTCTCCTAGAAGAAATTAGGTTTGAGGGCACGTGTATGTACGAGTCTGCGTGCGTACTTGGGAGGCATTAAGCAGAGCAGTTTAACAGAAATGTGTGAAAGACAGAAACCCCCCCTGGCTGATGTCATTACGTTTTTCATTTTTCTCTGTGCGATTCGCCGTGGCGACAGAGGCAACGGTCCCCTTTTGTTCCTGACCCACTTCTATCCTTCATACTCACGTGCAGCAAGAGCGAGCAAGAGGAAGGCCTTGTCCTTCCCTACTGGTACACTGACCACTATACACCTCAGTACCGAAGCCTCTGTTTAACTGATCTGAAGTGGTTAATTCAAGCTTCAGACCTGGAGAAAATTCGATCTTCACTGCAACACTGAAACTCACAAGAAAAAAAAAGGAAAAAAAAACTCATGAAGGGCTTGTCCATTGATAGTCAGCAGGTAAGTTATAGGGTTATTCCATGCAAACTCACATTGGGCCTGTTAGGTCACCTCATGGACTCACTGACCCATGAGAAGTCCATGC